GGCTTATCTTTTTCACCACATATGAAGTTCCCTGGTCTATCTACTGACAGAAACCAGGGGTGGTCCATTAAGCTCTCAACCACTTAGTATTGATACCCATTTAAAACAAAGTTACTGGCCTTTGACATACTATTTAAATCATTTTCCAAAAGTTACATGTTTCTTCTACCACAATACAGGATCGGCAAGGACAAGTATTTTGGAGTGCTCACAGCTTTACTAGTGCCTGGCAGTTAGTAAGTACTCAAGAAATGAATCAGTTTGATTGCTAGGATTCTCTATAACTTCAAATAGAGAATCCCAGCTTAACTCTGAGCCAAGTTATAGAAGCGATAGAGCTTTTACAAGGAAGGTATCTGAAATAGGAAAAGGACTGGAAAATGCCCTTTGGTGAGAAGCTGAAAGGCTGCACCCGAGACAGTGGTACACCAGAGAGCTTAACGCTGAGGAGAAAAGCACAGATGCCAAGAATCACTTGGGGTGAAAGGAAAGCTTGAAGACCAGGATCCTTCTGACGCTTCTGTACTGTCTCTCTAACATGCTTTTACTTTCCCAAGTAGGAATCAAAATTTAGAGGCTAAGGAAAAATGCTGTCTCTTTGAAAAAAAGTGTGGGAAAGTTTTGGATATAGGTACACTGGCCTTTAACAAATATGATTTCCAAAGTGAGGGTGCAGTTTATTAGACAGCTGTGAAATAAATTCAGTAGCTTGTGGTTAAGTAGTTACAAGAAACAGACTAGAACCTATCAGAAAATCATTACAAGCAGTAAAGGTTTCACGACATGAAATGCTTTCTAAAGTCATACATAAAAACCTACACATAAGTGATAAGGAAATAGATTTTTTTTTCCTTCTGTGGGGAAAGTTCCTAAGAATTGGACATAAGAATTCTGATTCAAAGAAATATTACCTCCCTGCAAATGAATATGCTCTGCTACTAAATGGCTCAAAGAAAGTCACAGGGGAAGCTTGTTACTCAGTTTGGTTAAACTACAATGTTACAGGTCTGCACCGACCTAATTAGATAGTAAGTTGTGCGCACGCACACCCACACACACCAATGGGCGCCTGAGAATTAGAACTAGGTTAGAAATTCATGTGAAGACAAACAAGTTTTGCAATATTCCTTATTTAGATTTGTTCACCACCTATTAGCTATTTCATGAAAGACAGATTTCTCTGTTCGCTACCTCATTCACTTATTCAACAAATATCTACAGAGCCCTTGCAGGTACCAGGACGATTCTAAGCACCGAGGACAGAAAAACAAACAAAAAGACAAAATTACTTCAATCCTGGAAATTCCTTCAATCCTTCACTGCGGGGAGAAAGGCGATAAATGAGTGATCAAAAATACATGTGAGGTTGAATGATCAATGCTTAGATACAAAATCAGGCTGAGCACTGAAAGTAAAGAGGGGATCATATTTCCAAAAGGGTTGTCAGAGGACAGCCCTTTCAGGACATTAAAACCGAGTGACCCGAAGTAAAGAAGGGGCCTGAAGGATTGTAGATGAAAGAATATTCCAGGCAGAGAGAACAAGTAAAGGTATCTGAGGCAGAAGCATCCTTGGCAGGTCTGAGAAACAGCAGGACAATGCAGATGGAAAAAACAGTAAGAGGGAGAGGATTGGAGATGTACTCAGAGGCACTGGGGGACAAACGGCAGACCACAGAGGCCCCTAGAAGCCACTTTACGTGGGTTTTACTCTAAGTAACATAAGCCATAAGAGAATATTGAGCAGAGGAATAAGATAATCTGATTTAAGATTACAAAGGATCATTCTGGCTGCCACTCAGAGAACAGACCATAGAAGGGCACAGGTGGAAGCGGGCAACCAGTATGAAGGCTGCTGCAATAATCCAGGAGAGATTTGGCAGATTGGACTGCGTGAGGCCCTAGTGGTGGCGAGAAACAAAACAGATGGACAGTTAACTACGAGAACTCACAATTGCTAGTTTTTACCTAATTTTTTCTCTATCTGGGGTGATGTCTTCATCATCCAAAGCCTCTCTTCTCTTTCTATTTATGATATATCTTGTCTGAAATATTGATATCCTGAGAATATGTGAAGTCACAAGTTTCAAAAGAACACAATGAAGCTATAATTTACTGGAAATTTCAGTTTCAATTGCATATTCAAGATGTTGAAAGAATTGTTTTCAAAAATCTTTTATCGTGACTTACTGAAGAAAGAGCATTTACTTCATGACTCAGACACATATGCATAAATATATCTTACTAAAACAATGGTTGAATGACTCATTTCTAAACTATGTCTATTTTCATTAAATCTCCTCCCAGTGGTTCTCACACCACTCATGGAATTGGCCAGTTTTTCTGCAATGTATGGTATTCTTCCCCAGGAGCTGTGATATTTCCTACTCTGTTATACTCCATTGAAAACTGTTAGTAGGATTCAATAAATTGGTTTTATAATTCACTAACAGGACATGAGTGAAATTTTAAAAAATACATAAAGTACAGCAGTATGCTGTCCATTTGGGTTACTTCTTTACTTTTTTTTTTTTCTTTTTAACAAAACACAGATGAAAAAGACTAGGAATTTCCTTCTCTTGTAGCCTACAGGCATTGTGAAAGTCTGGTCTCCAAACTCAGGGAACCATATCAAGAGCCCCAAAGCCTTAACTCCAAGGTCACAGAAACACTCCAGAGGGCGCCTGTCCTCACCCACTGAGACCAGGTTCCTGAAGTTCTCCAGCATCACATCCTGGTACAGCTTCCTCTGGGCGGAGTCCAGCAGCCCCAGCTCCTCCTCGGTGAAGGCCACAGCCACGTCCTTGAACGTCACTGCCTCCTATGCCAAACACATACACCTCAATCTTACACCCAGTGTTCACTGGGAGAGGGGTGGCACTGAGGATGGGTGGGAAGCGGCTCTGGCCCCCGAGTGATCTGCAGACCTCCCAGCACCCTCCTATCCTGTCAATGGCACATGCTGCTTGCCTCAGCCTCACTAGAAGCACTGCTCTGAGAAAGGAGACTCTGTATGTTTATCTGGCGCTCTCAGTGAGCTGTGTTACAAGTAAACTCCCTAGAATTCTAAATGCCACATCCTGACTAAAAAGGTTCTACTTTTTACTTAATATTGCCAATTGCCCCAGAAACGGTTTCCAATTTCGTCCCAACGGTGTTTGTCAGCACCCACCTTTCCACTGAGGAGTACCGTTATACATGGAAATAAACGGAAAAGGCTTGCCAGGTCTCTGAACAAGACTGTTCCCTCCTGTCTCTGTCCTGCACTCGTGTACAATATTCTGACTTGGTTTTCTGTGTGAACTTGAGCAGGTTCCTTATTTTTCATAATCCACTTTCTTTATATTAAAAATTAAGATGAAACCAAAAACCTCTTCATAAAATTGTTCTGAAGTGTCAATGCAGCGACAAGTCCTCTAGTACCACTGAACTTTTTAAACTTAGGTTATCTATAACTTTCATTTAAGAAAATAAACAAAGAAAAAATAAATAAAGTACACATAGGGTATGACTCAGGCACAGAGGAACAGAATATAGTTCTTGTATGAGGAAACTTCTAACTATATTTTTTTCTGTGTGAGGCAGCAGTTTAATCCTGAGGCACTGCACCAAATTTGAAGATTCTACCAAAAAAATATCCGAGGTACCACATATAAAATATAGTTTTACTCATTTTGAATACTCAGTATGTTAAGGACATAAAGAGGCAGTATTTTTTCAGAACTGATTTTTTGAGGAAAAGATTAAATGCAGGAAAACTGTACTGTAGTGCTCCTAAAACAGTAAAGGATCCTAAACTAATGTCTATGAATAGAAAATTGTTTTAAAAATAGGTACGTAAATTTGATGGGAACATAATATAGCAATTTAAAATGAATATTATATAACATTAAATGCAAAAACCAAGTTGTATCTATGTTCTGAATACAAATACATAGTATGAATACATATAATGAAAAGATTATGGAAATATCAAAGCAGCTAATTTGGGGAAGTAGTAAAGATGTTTTTCATTTCTATTAATTTTTCTTAGTGAAAATAAAAGATGAAATAAAACGAAAATGAAAACTAAAAGTAATTAATCTTAAAAAAGGTAAAATAAGCATCTCACATACTCAACAGTTCCTCAAATGCTGTTACTCTTGGTGAAAGAGAAAAACTTGTGTCCAATCTCTCCAGTACCGAAACAGCATTTTTTAACCCATTTCCTCTTTGTCCCAGGAATACCCACTGGGGACGCTTGCAGTTGAGTTTACCCTGAGATAATTTATGGATTACATTCCTAACCTCACTCCAAAAAATATCTCACTTTTATTAATTATTATTTTCGCATCACTCTAGTATACCGATAATCTTTGGAAACAAATGACATCATTCTGTTCATAGCATTCTGTTTTTAGGAGTGATATTTCCACTTACAAAATATGGTAATTTTCGATCACTAAAAATGTCAAATCCTAGAAAACGTAGCATTCTTACGCTTGATGTCAAATTACAGCTGGAAGCAAGCTGCACTTCTGTTTTTTTTTCTAAACAGGACAGAGGTTAAAGCAAGAAAGGCAAGCCCTACTCACCTTGAACATGCTCATTTTTTCTTTTTCCTTCTTCGGAAACAGAGTCCTAGGAAGGCAGACTGGGAAAAGAGAAAGAAGTCAATAGAAACCGGTCAAGTATGTCACCGATCCACGTGGCTGCATGCTGTGAATTCCCAAAGATGCCTGGTCCCCAACATCTACATGCAGCTTGAGGTACAGAACTTGGCATGGATGCCAGATGCCCATGCTATCCCTTTCACTAGTAGTTCAGGAAATACTCTGCCCAACCACACACAGTGGCCCCACCACCAGAGTGCCCGTAGCTTCAACAGTAGTAATTCTTACACTGGATATGGTATAAATTGAGACCTAAAGAAGGTAGACTCTGGAGTCAATGTGCATGGGTTGAAATTCTGGCTAGGCTATTCTCTAGCAGTGTCGTCTGGGGCAAATCATTAACACCTCTTTGCTTCAATTCTGTCATCTACAGGCTGGTGAGAATAATTGCATCGACCTTATGGGACTGTCATAAAATAGAAAGACCTTAGAACATTGTCAGGGTTTCTTATTTCTTTGCCATTGCAGCAAAGTATATGTTATTCCATAGTTAGAAATTACTCTGATAAATGTTGATTTCTACCAACAGAATATTGTAAGATACATGGATTTCACAGGTTGCTGCTCTGTCATGTTAGAAACTCTTATAAGTTCTGAAAAATCTCTGGTGTAGTCTTTTTAATAATTTGTTACCTCAATAATAATATTTGACACAAAACTTTTTATAAATAATACAAAAATGTGTGATGTTTCTTTAAAGCAGTAAGTGCTCTTTTCACAAAAATACAGAGAAGCAAAGAAAACTAATTAAGACCTATGATTCTGCAACAATTAAAAAAAATGTGTGCCACTCCATAGCTAATTTAAATTAAAAAGACAGGAATTTGCGCTATAAATATATTGTCATAAATATGACAATGTGTAAGAGTGAATTGGTGAGAAGAGAAAACTCTTAGAACACTGTCATGGTAGAATGCAAACTAACAGACGTAGAATGAAAAACAGAAAATCATCCAAGGGAGGCTAAAAATTGGAGAAAATCTGGTGAGGAATAAGATAATCTCAAAGTATTAACTGCAAAAGGAACATCAGTAACCTAGCAGACACCTTAACCAAGAAAAGTAAGTTGAGACCACCAATTGGACAAACCAACGTATGCTGCATACGATGCACTGAGAAGGGTCCCTCAATACTGCTTTGGCATCCTTGCTGATAATGCTGAGCCTGAATCTAATCGTGAGGAAATCTCAGATAAACCAGAGGGATAGTCTACAAAATAATTTGCCGATACTCTTCAAAACTGTCAAGAGTAAAAAAGAAAAAGTGTGATGAATTGTTCTAGATTAAAGGAGACTAATGAAACAAAAAAACAAGTGCAATGCATGTAACTGGACTGAATCTTGAACTGGAAAGAAAATTGCTCTCAAAGATTTTATTGGGAAAATTGAAAAAATTTAAATACAAACATTGGATTAGACGACAGTGGGTTATCAATGTGATTCCATTTTGATCACTGTCTGTACCTTGCTCTAAAATGGTTCAGGAAAAAAAAAACCACCCCAAATATGTAAGTACGATGAAACTGTGAAAGAAAAAAAATAGCTAACAAGCTAACTATTGCAACAGCTAGAAACTGACATTTTCAACTGATGAACAAAAATCAGACAGGAACATTCATGATCATAGCAAAAAAGAAAATTACAAGACACTGCATAACAGAGACAAAGACATTCTACAGTGACAAAAATAGCCAAAGAACTGCCCATCCCAGCTAATTAATGTGAGCACTTGTTAACAGTGACGACTCCCGTCTCTTTATTTCTTCCATCTACTAGATAAAAATTCTTGCAGTAGTCAGTTATCAAATCGCTTCTGCTTCTTGACAGCATCCAACCCAAAAGAAACCTTCACTGCCTAAAACTCTCCCCAATTCAGCTAACACAAGCCAAACGCAATAAGCATAATCACCTCTTCCCAAGACACTCAATGGTTACCCATGGAATGTGGGTTTCCTTGCTGCAGCAAGCTAAAACAAAGCTAACTTTGATTACAGGTATGTTCCTGACGGTATCAGGCTGATAGTCATCAACAGATCAAGTAGGCAAAACATAGAGAATCTGGGTAGAGTATACATAAATTCCTTATACTATTTTTGCAATTTTTCTTTAAGAATAAAATTATATTTAAAGTTATAGAAATTAGGAAATAGTCATAGTGATAACACACAATAACAATAATTCTGATGACGACAGCAAGTGTCTAACGTTAACTGTAACTATTAGTCGATCTTCACACTTCCAGCAGAAGTCTTCTAGTACAAAATATGGTAATGAGTCCACTCCCCAAAGTTTGAGAGAAATATATCTTTGTGACTGCTAATTCCATTTTGTCTCTAGATTTACCAGCTAGCTGCCTTCTGCTCATGTCAGGATTTTGCAAGGAGACCTAACAGTTAACAATAATTAATATGTGTGTGTAGGGGGAGAAATCACTGAACTGAGTAGAACTCTGAGGTACCCAACTGCTTTATCTGTGACAGCTGGCACAGTTAATTTTCTAGACCTCCATTTCCAGATGAGAACCTTTCCAGGGCTTCTCGAATTTTCCTGTATGCAGGAATAACTTCAGGATCTTGGAATACAGATTCCTGGGGTCATCTGCAGAAATTCTAACTCAGGTCTTGGATGAGGCTCAAGGATGGGCATTTCTAGCCCCGTGATGCCAACACTGTTGGTTTGTAGACTACAATTTGAGCAGTACTGCAATGCATCATCAGTCCTAAAGAAAACAGCATCCACTAAACAGAAATACATGATAAGGCACTAAAACAGGATTATCTTTACATCTTAAGGTTATGGATAACTTAAATTTTTCTTTACGTATTTCTGTACTCTCTGAATTTCCTATTATGATTATGTTACTTCTAAAATATAAATATTACCTGAAATACAATATCAAAATAGTTGAAAAAACTATTTAAAAAACTCACAGAATAGCCTAAGCCTTGCTCAAGATTCCCACAATCAAGTCCCAAACTACTTTCCCAGTATGATTCCAGACAGTTCCCATGCTCGAGAATATACCAGAGATTAATGAACTCAGGTCCTGGCCTCAGATTAACTAAGTTCTAGCCCCATCTCTGCCTCCTACTAGCAGGGAAACCATGCACAAACAGGTTACATCCCCTGCATCTCAGTCTCATCTTTAAAGTAGGGAAACTAACAACATCACCGCACAAAACCATCCTGTGATGGAAATGTGTCCATTTGTATAAGATTTTAAAATAAAACTTAGCAACTAAGGCTTAGTTACAATCATTACATGTCCAAGTACATCTCCCACTCGTTCTCCAATTTATGTGAATACTTAGCAGAAAAACGCCAAGTCCTACTCACGTGGGCCTGTTTTCTCCTCCTCCGTGAAGTATTTTGAGATCTCAGAGCTGAGGAAGGAAAGAAAGTTGTGAAATACCAGGATTGTGTTTGCATCCCTGAAAAATCATTCTTGATACCAGCTAGGAGCAATCCTTTCCTGACAAAAAATGGCAGGAGTCCAGGACAATTCAGCTTCTTGGGCTCACAGAATCTCACCGCGAGCTGTTCGTTTCTCAGAGAATTATAGTAGTATTAACAACAATCCATGTACCAGGAAGTTTTAAACCTTTCACTTGTACTATCTCTTTTCCAAAACATTCTATTAGGAATGTATTAGAGAAATATTACTTTTCTTTCCCTTTTACAGAGCAGCAAGCGAAGGCACAGGATAGTTAAGTAACCTGCACATGTGCCACCTACAGCTTGGCGGTGCAGAGCCTGGGAGACCCTCAAACCCCACGGTGCACCACCGAACCTGCCCTATCCCGGGGACGTCGCAAACGCAAAGTTCGGCCCTGGGGAACTCAAATCGCCACAACAGCCCTCTAACCTCTACTTTTATCTGCTCCTCCTCTGTCTCCCCAAATGAGAAGCCAGCAGCTGTTGGCCCCAGGCGCAATTTGGGTACCTTTGAATGGGTCGTGAAGAGCGGAACTGAAACAACATAACCAAAAAAAGATGGCTGCCTCATCGGCCTCCAAGGCCGGAAGTAACTGTGACAACCCAGGACTCCTCTACTACATTTCCCAGAATCCCCAGCACCGCCTTCCCTGAAAGGAAGTGCCTGCGACTATCTAGAGCTCTTAGACCTACACTTCCCAGAACTCCGCGGGGAAAAGTTTACAGCCGGGCCTCCCTGGAGCTGCAGGTTACGGGACCACACGGAGCGCTGGACTGCATATCCCAGAATGCCAAGGGGGATAACCAGCGACAGCATAGCCTCATGGACTGGAGTACCCCAGTGGAAAACCTATAAGTACCCAACTGCTTTGAGCTCTTGGTTTTCACTTCCTGGAATCCTCAAGAAATTCTCAAGCCAATGTCGGCCTTAGATGAGTGTAAACTCTGTTCATTGAGTAGCCGAGTAACACTTTAGACAGGTTCGAGGAGCTAAGCGACATAAACATATTGCCTACCACAGAGACTTCTGGGTGAACTCCAAAGAGCGTCACCATATAAATAAGAGCAAAAGGGAATTGGGCTTTTTTTGACAAGGACTGAGGACGAACGTTAAGTCACCTTAATGCTTGAAATTGTATAAAGATGAATGTGTTTCGTTAGGATCTTACGGCCCTTTCAGAAGCAAATAAAAACCTTTTTTAGAGAAAGATGCCATCATTCTAAGCCTCAAATTACTTCTATAATTATAAATTTGTGATATTAATATTTGACCGAGCATTACTTGACATGGAGGTACGCTTCAGAATGATAAACATTTAAAGTTACCGCAAGCTAATTAAGTTTGTATTTTATAAAGCAAAACTGACAGAACCACGAAAAGATCCAATGGGTGAAAGGCGTCAAAAGGTTAACAAAAAGTGAGCACTGCAGCTTGTAGTGCAGTTGTCTCCACAATACACCTGTGAAACAATTACACTCATCATCTTAATGTGTGGATCAGGACAAGCAAACTACATATGAATAAATGCTGGTCAAGCAATGCAAAAAAAGTGGGAAGGAAAGGGGGAGAGAAGGCAGAAAAGGAGAGGGAGAGGGGTAGAGAGGAAACACCAAGACTGGGACACCTTAATAGTATAAAAGAATATCGAGGTTCAAGAACCCAACAATTTCATTTGTGAATAAGCAAAACTAGTATTAAAACACACACACACACAGACATCCCAGGCGGTATGTGCAGTTGGAAGGGTGGGGAAGTGCATGGGTATAACCTAAGAGCCCCAGGCCTGGAAATTGCACCTGGATCTGGATATTCTGGAAAAATCACCAGGAAGACCAGAGGGGTGAGAAAAGCCTTTTATTACTCACAAGACAGGGAAGCGTAAACAGCAGCCAGTTAGAGCTGCATGAAGAGGCTGCTGCTGACCAACCACAAGCAGTTTTTTATACCCACAGGCAGATGGAGGGTTTATCTCATTGTGGGAGAGGCCATCTGCTCAAATGGTTGGAAGCAAGATGTGCTGCTTGGACACAGAGCAGATAATGTCTGTAGGAGCTCCTTCATTATCGGAGTTCTTCTCATCAGAGGACTCTATAGGATGATAATATTTCTGTTCCTCTGTTTCTAACTCCTGCTCATACTCTGGCAGCAAAGGCTCCTCATTTAAAGGAGGAGCTGAAGGCACAGTTTTCTTTAAAGCTTCGTAACCCTCTACTGTAGTCTTTAATTGCTGTACTATATCTCCCCGAGGGAAAAGAAATAGAAATTCTGAACAATATAAATAAAAATATACTCCTCAACAAATCATGGTGAATTCAGGAATGCAAAGGCCTAAAGAAATAAAAACTAAAAACAACAAAAATCCTTAAAGCTCCCAGAAAGAAAATATAGTTTACTTAACAGAAATGACAATTAGATTGACAGGAACTGGGAAACACAATAAAGATCTAAAACAACTGAATATCTCCCAAACGAAGAAAATAATGGTCAACCTTAAATTCTATGCTCAACTAAATGATCATTTACATAATGTAAAATGTTACATTTTAGCTGAAGAAAAATGAAAAAGATTTATGACTAAATAAATTCTGAAAGAAGCAATGGTAATAAAACATTTGTAAATATATTTGGTAATATCTTTGTTTAAAAAAAGAAAAAAAAAGCCCAGGAACAACATGACAAGTTTAGAAGGTGGTTATAATAAAAAGTATATCTATAACCTAACCTATAGTTTTTAAAAAGGTGGTAGTGGGGATCCATCATCAAATTTCAAATATATTTTTCATCTCTCTATTTTTCAGAATGAGAACGCATGCTGATTAGTACCTGTTGAGACAATAATCATTTAAAAAAATTAAAAGTACCACAAGCCCATATAATTTCCAAACCAGTTGAGAGCAAATAAAAGGGAACACACTGAAGACAAAATAAAAAGTCAAGCACAGTAAATTTAAAAAGAAGTTTGTATTTAAAATGTGTGTGGGGAATGGAAAAACACACATGCATATTAAGAAGCAAACTAAACATTCTTGGGTTTATTTGACAAATATTTGAACATTTTCCTAGTACTAACTTACTGAGTGAAGGAAACCTGATTAACTGAAAAGAGAGCGCAGACCAAGAAAGCACTGTGAGTAGTATGTACTGGAGGCTAGGCTTCGAGGAGCCAAGAAATCCCATCTTCTTCCCCTTTCCAAATTCAGGGGTGCTGAAGCGAAGGATGCACGGGACAGCACGACTGTGTCTGTCTCTCAGATAAGCTGCAGCGGACATGCCCAGGCACTAGTGTGGGGTGACTCAGTGCTTCCTAAAAAAGAGATCAAAACTCAGTAAGGCTGGGAAAAGCTCGGTCTCCAAAAGAATGACAGAAGGGCCGTGGCCTTGCTCCTAGAGCCCTGACCTCTGTCTTCACTCGGGCTTCCAGTGAAAAGGATGCCGGCGAGGGAAATCGCCATGCCCACAGTGAGGCCACCGTTATTCAGTGCCACCACTGTCCTAAGCGTGGACACATACTGTCTCACCTAATTCGAATCACAACCCTTCAGCCAGTAGTTGCTGTTTCTCGCCGTTTTAGAGGAGGAAAGGAGAGCGCAGAGGTAATAAAACTCGCCATATGTTGTACCGATGGAAGTGGCAGCGCTGCTGGTTAAGTGGGGGAGAGCGTCCACCCGCCGCCTCTCAGCCTCCGCCGGCTGCCGCGACGCCTCCATCATAACACAGCCGGCTAGGTTACCGACTAGTCCTGAAGAGGAAATTTGGGGAATTTCATTAAAAACTAATCAGCTTTCTGCTTTTGTAAATATGCTTAATTTCCGTAACTATGTTTGCAGCATGCAAGAGCTCCCTTACACCTTGCTTGACTTACAAATGTAACTGTACTCCTGCCGCTCTCGATTTCTGTAAAATTTGTTTACTGGTTACCCATAGCAACTCCTGCTCTTCTGTATGTTACTACTTGAAATCTGCTTAGCAGCCCCTGCTGTATTTAAGTTTACATTCAAACCGACTAATCAGCTTGTGTAAAGTTTTTCCTATATAAAAAGAAGTTTCCATTGAGAACCTGCCCAGATCTTCAGAGCACTAGCTCGTCTGTGATTGTGCGTAATAAATCTGAATTCTCCTCTCCCCTTCTCTCCAAGTTACTGTTTGGTTTTTCGTTGAGCTGGGTTTTGGAGCTTTTGAGATATTTTTCCACAACAGTCCCACAGTCAGGCCAGAAAGGCTCTGAGGGGCTGAAAGGTGGTGACGGCCTCGCTCTCCCAGGCAGAAGTGGCTCCGACCACACGGCACTCCGGAACTACGCTTCCCATCAGCCCCTTGTTTCCAGACAGAGTCAGGGAATTCATTTCCCAGAACACCCAAGAATCACTTCTGCCCTGGTAAAGATATTAGAAATAAAAAATTTTTTTTAACCGCTAACCTCTCGGAGTTCTCAGCCTACGAGCCAGCAACTTCCAGAAGTCTCTTTAATGGCTTCCTGTCATTTTGTCGGCCTTAAGCAGTTCTCTGACGCCAGTACAGTTTAGCTTTTTCTCATTGACAAAACATAATAGCAAATATTTGAAGTCGGTCTTGTGTGAAACAAATAACGTGATGCTTTGTGCTGATAGAATTCTACCGACTGATATCAAAAAAGGAAAAAACGATAGCCTCTATTTCACAGTTTTAGGCACTTATATATAAAAAGAATGAAAGATTAAAAAAAATCCAACAAAGGCAGATATATTGTAAATTTCCACTTTTGTTAATAGCACAAATCAGAACTTGCCTGTTGAGGACAACTAGACATACTCTGAGTGAAAAGATGAGCTTCAGCACAGACTTGTATGATCAACTTCTCAAAACCATAGGGACCACTGAAATCATTTTTCCAAGAAATTACAAATCTGAAGGATGAACACATCGTTAAGTAGATGTTTACGCATGGTAACTAAAAAGGCTATTATATCCACAAATATATACAATATCTGTTTGCATTTCTCATTTACAGAACATATATTCCTTATTCTGCTATACACAGATATCTCTTATGAAGCATGTAGTGTGCTCCATGGACTGTTCCAGACTCTTTTGACACTTCATCTTCACAACTTTCTAAAGGTAAATACTGTTGTTTCTGCTATTTTACAGTTTAGTAGCCAGAGGCAGAGAGGTTAAGTGTCTTTTGCCCATTACAAAGGTAGTGAGTGCTAGTGTCAGATTTCAAAATTTGTCGTTTGATGACCAGAACCTGAGTGCTAACCACTGTATTAACCACATCCTATTTAATCTACATGAACAGAATATTTAACTTCAATCAATTTCATTTCTTCCTGATGCCAGAGAGATATATCCTAACACAGAAATTCAATTATTTTTCACCTGCAAGTCTATCCAGTGCCCTTAAGAAAAGGTACAAATGGTTTAGCAAGTCACACAAACAGGAATCTTCCATATTCTGGTTTCCTGTGAAATCCGCTTTCCGCTCTTCATATCCAGCCACAGTGAATCACTTGTACTCTTACAAAAAGCCTCCTTTTATCTGTCTGTCACATCCTGCTGTTCTATACAATTCTAGGTCATAGTCTTCATCCATAGCCTAAATATTCCCTGGTACAGTAAGACTTCTGTGGGGTTTTAAAGACTAATAAAAGCAATGTATAATAAACGAAATTACAGACTTGGAATAAGACCGCCGAGATCAAAGTACTTAATTCTGTCACTTATTCTGTGCACTCTGTCCCTTTTTACTTCATTGTATAATGGAGATAAAGAATAGGGTTGATATTAGGAACAAATGAACAAATACATGTGTCGGAAGCCAGCCGACCAAGTCAAACCGGGTACCTGAATGGGGGAGCGGGGACTGAGAAAAAAGAGAAGACAGACAGGGTGCAGGAGGGAGAACAGATCTCACAACTGTCTCTCCGAGTTTATTTCTTCTCCTCCTTTTAAACACAATCTGTTCCTTTGTGTATCCCAAAATAACATAAAAGTAACATCCTGAAGATCGAGGTGCAATTGACACTTCCTTTGACACTCCCTTCGACACTCCCTTAGGCTATACTTAATCTTCTTCTTCCTGGAATTCCACAGAACCAGCCTTTTCTTTTCTATGCAAGCAGGCCTCCCGAGATAAACCATGCACTCTTTTGAATTTGGGGAGCTTTAGCTCCCTACATACATGTAAAAGCAGTGGAAACTGCTTGACTCATGACCACCTATAAAAGTTAGGAAATGTTATCTTCCAGTGATAAACACTGAACACATAAGTTAGGGATGTTGGTTTCTAAATAAATTTGCTTTAGGTCATTAAAATATTATCAATAATTGTATTCAAATGTGAATGCTGTGAAAAACGGGTAGATTTTGCATCCCACTGAAAGTGAAATAAAGGATCGCTAAAGTCTATTATTATTCCCTTCTATGGTTTCCTGAATCCATTTCGGGAATTCTGAATACAGTCTGAGTTGAAGGCCCGTGTATCAATCATACCAGACTCAAACACTGAAGAACTTTTCTCTCCCAGTCTCCGCTGGGTGCTAAGCACACTGTAAAGAATGGAACATACTCCCTTCAACAAAGTAGCGCGTAGCCCATGGGAGAAACAGATCACAAATCAAGATGTAGAAGACTGTGCCAAGTAAAAATCCAAATAAATCAAATTTATAATTATTCCACTCCAAACCTCAATGTTTGTGCATCCCTTAGCTTTCTCACATAACTACCATCCTCCTACTTGCCAGGAATGAAACCGTGAAGTTAACATTTGCATTCCCTATATAATCAATGTATGTTAATGGATTTTAAATTCTGCTGACTCCACGACTAGGATTTAGTTTTGTTTTATAATATTACACCTTCTCCTCCCTCACGTATGCCTCCAAAATTACTTTGTGTGAGAAAGGGAATTGATGCAATAAGATAGACAACACATTGATAAAGTTTGCAGAGGACTGATATTTAGTGGGGGGCAGGTTTCTTTACACAGTCTTCTCTGTGTTTGCATACGTTTGGGCATTTCCATAATAAAATTTTAAAGAAGAAATATCATCCATAAAACACTATTAAGTGCATTAAAAATGTTAGCATTGATCTACCTCTAAATCCCGACATGAGTAATTTTGATTCTTTCCTTTTTATAATTCTCTATTTCATAATCTCTCTATAATGGGCATACATTCCTTCTATAATGAAAATATAAACTCTAAAGCCCCAAATCACCTTCTAAGCCTGACAGAAAACGCTTCCTCAGTCATATACACAACTACTTCCTTTAAGAAAGGTACAGCATAGAGATTAAAAACAAATTTGAGGCTCCCAATTCTTGAGTTTAAATGGTAGTTCTGCCTCTTACTAGCTGTAAATCTTGAGCAAACTACATAAACTCACCAAGAGTAAATTAAAAACTTTTTTTCTTACCTAAGAATTCATTTTCCCTTTACTTTTTATAATAGAGAATTTAAAAAAAAAATAGAGAGCTTTTGGATCCTTTCTCTGACCTTTTGATATGAATGTAAATCTCATTAGCGGCTAAGAAAGCTTCTAACCAAGTTTACAATCCAGAAATGTTTTCAAATGTCTCCGGTTTGTCCCTTTTAACCCGGAACTTCTGAGAAAATGAAAACCAGTGTCCCTATCACTGTGGGAGCTTAACCAAGGGGCTTTTCTCTACAAATCTACTAGCAGGGGAAATAACATAAATATTGTTATGAACTAAGCCTTCATTCCCAAGTTAACTTATGATGAATTTATCAAAGAATTTACAGCAAATGGTAGTCGTCTTATACGAAGACAAGTTTCCGCCAATCCTGAGAAAGAATTTATGAAAATTCTCAGGATTAAGTTAAAAACAGAATGGTATAAAAAGTTTGTAACTGCTTGATTACAATCAAGGAGAAATTGCTTTGTAATTTTTCCCATAAGTTACCTAGAATACTGTACTCTGGATACGCTTATTCACCAGTAAGGGAGCTTTCTTTTCCACATTGTGTAGAAAGAACTTTGTGTTGGCAAGATGTTTTAATTCTCTAATACTACCTTCGTTTCCTTTCGTTAAAAATAAAGGCTAACAGCGGCACCTACCTTATAAGGCTGTTGGTTATTTAATGAATTCCCATGAAATGGTCAGGACCTATTACTGATGACTGCTTAGGGGATGAGGGTAATGAGTCAACAGAGATTAAGTAACTCGCATGTTACTCTAGGAAGTGTCAGAGCTGGCTGGTAGGTAAGGGAATCCGGTTAGGGAGCCCAGGAAACTTTCAAACCAAGGGACACGCGAACCGGGCCGCCCCCAACCCAGGGAGCACGAACTGCTCCAAACGAAAAGCTTCGGCAGAGGAGAACGCAAACGTCTCTAGACCCCATGCTCCTCAACTGGCTGCGGCTTCTCACTCTCCCTGAGGCCAAGGGTCGGGACTTGGGCAGTCCCAGGATTGAAGAGGCTCCGGGTATCCACTACACGAGGTAGACTGCAGCCTTGCCTTCTACAACCAACGCGCCTCCTTCCGACTCGAGGGCGCTCTGGAGCACTTTCCCAGAATCCCCTAGCACTACCGGCCAGAAGCGGAAGTGCTCCTGGGCACATTGACCTGGACTACATTTCCCAGAGTGCTAGAGAAAAACAGGGCCATAGCCACGCCTCCCTCCCCCTCCCGAAGCGGAATTACTTCCGAGTTCTCTGAGCTTCCAAGTAATAACCCCTAGCAAGCCAGGGTGAGTGTCCACGAAATTGTTCCACTTTTAAGTGGTGGTGTCTGGCTTGTTGCTACCTACCGCATCTGTTATTGAAAGCTGTACCACACGTTTGCCACGTTTACAGGATTCGGGGGGAAGGTCTGGGTGGGGAGGAATCTCTGGTAAAACCCCAAACAGCTGCCACATTGGAGTAAGAATAAAAGGGAAATGGATTGTCTTTTCGTGACTGAAAGCCAAACTCTGAATCCCTCAGTATCTGAAACTGGATTAGAGTGAAGCATTTTTGTTAGTATTTCAAGCACCTAGCAGGAACAAATGAAAAGTCTCCCTAGAGAAAGAGATCATCTTCCTAGGCTTCAAATTATTCCTAGAATTAAAAAAAACAAAAACAAAAACAAAAAAACCTATTTTACTAAGTAGTCCTTGAAGAAAGCATTATAACTAACATAATTGTGATAGCCTGCTGAAATGTGAAAGGGTTAAAGGATAATTAAAACCTGAAACTGGACAAAGGAAGTCTATACCTTAGGCCTAGTTTCTGGAACCCCTAACCGCATTCTGTTAATCATGAAACTTGTAACAATGAGCTCATACGCTAACTGCCAATTTTAGCCTGTGTAACCCTGCTTGCTTGCGTGGCATGAAAAATAATCAATTGTACATAAGCTGAAAATTACTTTGGCCATCGCCCATGGGAATACTGGCTGTTGCCCATGGGAACATAGACAATCACCCATAGGAACATAACATTCTAACAACAGGCTTTCTGCTTCTGTACTTCCCTGCTTGCCCACCTTGCCAGTGGGTTGACAGGAGAGAAATAGACCTTTGTGTTTAAGACAGAATGAAGAATGGGATTTAAGGCTTACAAACCTTGTATCTTGGCATTTCGGGGCTGCTCCTTCGGAAAGATGGCCGCCGGCTAATAAACTGCTTCTATAATCAAAGCACTCAGGTTGAGTCTGGTTATTCCGGTCACAATAATTACTTTCAAATTATCAAGAATTACGGCTTCACAAAGCAAACTTTACAAAGCAAAATGAACAGAACTAAGAAAAATTCACAAGGTGAAATTTTAATGCATAGAAAGACATATAGAACCTTAAAAACATACTAAAACAGGATCTGAACCATTTGCTCATGCAACTTACTTGCGACTTCAGTTTGAGCCCAAGCTTATGTTTCACACTAGATGAAGTGCTGCAGGTGTGCCCACATTTATGACTTGATTGCATGGTAACTTTCTGGATGGTGGCCAAGAATTTAGTTTTAACTAGAGCCCAATAGAGCCAGAAGCTGCTTTCCCAGGAGTAATGCCATCTGCAGAGAATGACATAACACTGCTCCAAAACCCTAAACATCAATGTTGTGAGCTCCATGTAGCATCCCTGTCTGTTACAGACATTTCATACACCATCAGATATGTATTGGGTCATAAAATTATTTCTACAAAGAGTCAGTGAGTATACAAAAGACCACATAATCTGTCACCACTTGACTCTGCCATTTTAGCACCAAAACACCCATAAACAATATGCAGATATGTTTCAATAAAATTTTATTTACAAAAACAAATGGCAGCTGGATTTGACCTATGGAATGAAGTTTGCCAATCCCTGAACTAATCAGTGATAAAAGACTGGAATTGATGTAGCCCTGAGCTTTGATCCCTCCAGTAATATAGTATTGCTTTAGATTTTGTTTTGGTACATTGTGAGGCAGTTTTAGTGTTCACCTATCCTTCCTGATCAAAATAGCCTTCCTTCCATAGGTCAGGGATCCAATGTGAGGATTCTGCCAGCTATTTCTATGACAACTCTGCATTGTGGAACTTGGAAAATAAACACCGGATGGGTTCAGGGATCCTTCACAGGACCACATAGACCTGTGCAAAAACACTCATTATTTGTCCTTTATAAGTCCGTCTACTAACTGGTGGACTATAGTGCCATTTGAGGGGTTCTAGGAGTTAATGTCAGCACTAGAGTCCAGTAATCCCTCCATATTCTGGTTATTTTCACTCATCAAATGTACATCTTCCATAAAATTTGGCTGCAAATCACCTTAAGGAAGTCACGATGATTTATGGTATGCAGTCGAGGGGACCTGGAAATGAGAACCAACTGATATTGTGGAATTGGCCGAGGGGCCATAACTCACATTGATTCAAGTCAGACTTATGTTCACCAGACCAAGAGCATTTCCAATTATTCAGATCAAATAGGATATTAGTAGGCTTACCATCTATTTCAGGCCCAAGGACAGCATGATCAATAAACAAACGCGAAAACTTCTGTGAATCAAACCATTCTGATGATCCCTTTGTGTTTGATGTTCACTATGACAAACATGATCACTTTCTCTGTGAATAAAGTACCACCACTTGACCTCTGATGCTCCAAGACCCCATCATCCTCATGGAATCAAGGAGACCATGGTGATGTCCTCATTTCCGTCTCTGACTCCCAGCCTGCAGACATCACTACAGAGCTCTCCAAGATGGCCAACGCTCCCCTCGCCGAAGAATTTCTTAAATCTTTGACAATGGGTATCCTTGGCTCCCTCCCAGGGTACACAGGGGGCTGGGCAGGAAGGTCTCACACTCCAGCAGCCTAGCACTCCTGTCTTTGTGTTCCTCCTTCTACAGCAGTAGTGCTCAACTGGGGACAACTTTGCCCCATCCCCTGCAGGGCCATTGGGCAGTGTCTTCAGATTTTTAATTGATACAACTTGGGGAAAAGAGGATGTGCTACTGGCATCTAGTGGGCATAGGCCAGAGATGCTGTCCCTATCCCCTCAACAATGAAGAATTAACGAACCAAAATGTTAATAGTGCCCAGGTTGAGAAACTCTGTTTTACAACATACTTAGTTCTGGCATTTTGACTTCAGCATAAGCTAACTTGGGGTCCAGGTTTCAGTCATTCAACTGAGCAAACTGCTGAAGGCATTCCCAGGCGCTCAAGCTAACACCCTGAGTCTGGAAATAGTGTTCAGTGCACCCATATCAACAAATCCAGCCTGATCCAAATTATATAGTTTCCACCTGATTCAATACCCGTAAGATTCACAACTATATTTCTCATTTCTATTGTCGTATTTCTTAAAAATCCTATCTTGGCAGGTATAGTATCTCCTCATGGCCATACTTGACACCTGACGACTTCCTACCCAGACTCCCTTCCCATGGCCTCCAAAAATCTGATTAATTGGTCTAGAAAAATGAAAGGTGGCGGGGGCAAGGATCAAGGATCCACAGTCCCATGCAAGGAAACTACCTCAAGGGAGATCATTACAGGTTCTTCAGGCGAAGAAAGACTAACTCAGAGAAGGGAGAAAGACCTCTTTCTAAAGGTAAAGAAGGTTCAGCTAAATTTAGAGGTTAAAGGCCTCAGCTTTGTTGGAGTCTGCTCATATAGTCCTACCTCAATTTTTCAGTATTCTATTCTTCGCATCGATGCTCTAGGATGACGGTCCTCAATCTTTCTGGCACTCCACACTGGTGCTCCTATGAGAATATATCGCCGGATGATTTGAGGCAGAACTGAACAGTGATGCTAGCGCTGGGGAGCAGCTGCATATACAGATGAAGCTTCGTTCGCCAGCCGCTCACCTTCTGCCATGTGGCCCAGTTGCAAACAGGCCACAGACCAGTACTTGGGGACCCCCGCTCTAGGATACAATGAAATCTAAATTTTAAATCAAAGTGCTGCCATTCAGCCACTGACTAAATTTGCCTTGAGTCCCTTAAAAGAAAAGACATGCTGATTACATGTAACGAGTACCCAAAATATTAATAGTAGCCAAGCTCCAAGCTAAGAAAATTACCCAGAGGAAAAAAAATGGAAAATTTGAACCCATGGTGAAAAGTGGGGAGTTGAAAAGGAACGATCTTCAAAGGCCAACAAAACTGGATACACAGCTATAGGTTTGATATTTGGTGTAGATGGGGGTCAAGGTCAGAAGAGCCATGAAAATTGGAAGCAAATAGTGAAAACCCAACATCATCATCAAAAGAGCAGCTCTTTCATTGGCTGTGAAGAAATGTTTGTCATTAGTACTTCTAACACTTACACCCTGGCTTTGATAGCCTTGAAAAAAATCATGTGATGTCTTGTTACTGAAGACTAACAAAATCCAGTTTTCAGTGTATTCTGTTACAAAACATAGAGTTTATACTCTATAAAATTAACAGAACACTAGACAAAGTCCGAGATGATAGGACACAACTTGATGAGAGGCTGCAGGGAGGGCAGGAACTAATCACGCAGGACAGTGACAAATTAACAGATTGTAGTACTAGATGGTTTTCTAACGTTTCAACTTTGTCTCTTCGAATGGATTTTAAGGCTACATTTCCTGTTCTGAATACAAGCTTTTATGAAATTTTGGAGGTGATCACACTTTTTTCCCTGCTTATTAACATATTTGGAGTACTTAGAAAGTAAGTACTTTGCAATGTTAAGACAACGTGGACTACAGCCATACCACCACGAACATGCCCGATCTCGTCTGATCTTGGAAGCTAAGCAGAGTCGGGACTGGTTAGTACTTGGATGGGAGACCACCTAGGAAGACCAGGTGTTATGCGGGCGGGGGGCAAGGGGGAAGTCTTCTCTAAGGCACATTATAAGTCAAAAATTAAAAAAAAAAAGTGGGTTCACAAAATCTGCGCTTATAGAGCTCACATTCTAGTGGGTATGAATTTTGGCTTATCATCATACTTTTGTACAAAGCCTGATGAGACACTCTTAACCCTTTCTAAGAACTCTGTCCTGAGTAATATTTAATAAAAGGCAAAGTTCTAACTGAAGCCTTTACGATAGAACTTACAAGGATTCACTGTTGTGGAGCTTCCTGACTAGGCTATTTTAAGCTATGGCTAAAACACTACTTTAACAAGACAAATATAAATATATATTTTTTCTTTTGAATTTGAGGACTAAAAGAATTCACATGACACTTTTTCAAAACAAAAAATCATTTTATAAAACTTTTTACCTGTATGGTCTCTCTCGTGTTCTTACTGACCCTATCACTTTTATAGGATTTTTCACCACCATAGATTCTGTGATGAATTGTAAAATTGGACCACCAACTGAAGGTCTTAGAACATATCTCACACTTGTAAGGTTTCTCCCATGCGAACTCTCTGATGAGACTGTAGCTGTGAAGACCGACTGAAGACTTTACCACACGGGTCACATTTGTATTTCCCCAGTGTGGACACTCTGATGCACCTGAAGGCTTGAGGCCTGACTGAAGTGCTCTGCACACTCCCCACACTTATATGGTTTCTCTCCTGTATGGACCCTCTGATGCATGTCAAGATTCAAGCTCCACTTGAAGTCCTTCCCACACTCTTCGCATCTGTATGGCTTTTCCCTGGTGTGGACTTTTTGATGGGCTTGAAGGTGCGAACTCCGCCCAAAGCTCTTTCCACATTCGTCACATTTGAACGGCTTTTCTCCACTGTGGACCCTCTGGTGGGCCAGAATATTTGAGGCCCGCCTGAAGACCTTCCCACACTCCTCACAATTATATGGTTTTTCTCCTGTGTGGATCCTGCAATGAATTTTAAGATCTGCTCTACGACTGAAGCCCTTCCCACACTCTTCACACTTGTACGGTTTCTCCCCAGTATGGATCACCTGGTGAACCTGAAGTCGTGAACTCTGGTTGAAACCCTGCCCACATGCCTCACATTTATAAGGTTTCTCTACACTGTGGGCCTTCTGATGGATTTTAAGATACGAACTCTGACGGAAGCCCTTCCCACATACCTCACACTTATAGGGTTTCTCTCCGGTGTGGACCACGAGGTGAACTTGATAATGGGAGTTTGTCCTGAAGGTCTTTCCACACTCATTGCATTTATATGGTTTCTCTCCAGTGTGGACTTTCTGATGGGCTTGAAGATTTGAACTCAGAGTAAAACCTTTACCACACACATTACATATGTATGATTTTTCTACACTGTGGACTTCTTGATGGGCTTGGAGACTCGAAGGCCGACTGAAGCCTTTACCACATTCCTCACATTTGTAGGGTCTTTCTCCTGTGTGGACCCTCTGATGAATGTATAGATTTGAGCTACAAATGAAGCCCTTCCCACACTCCTCACATTTATATGGTTTCTCTCCTGTATGGACTCTCTGATGGGACTGAAGATGTGAATTACGACCGAAGCTCTTACCACATGCATCACATTTGAATGGTTTCTCCCCAGTGTGGACTCTCTGATGGTCTTGTAGATGAGAGGCCTGACTGAAGGCCCTCCCACAGTCCTCACAATTATAAGGTTTCTCTCTCGTGTGTAATTTACCATGAACAGTAAACGCCGATCTACGACTGAAGCCTTTCCCACACTCTCCACATCTGAATGGTTTCTCTACAGGAGCGTGCACTTTCCCATGAGGTGCCAGATGTGAGCTCTGACTGAACTCCTTACTACAATCACCACACTTACAGCTTTCTTCTGCCATGTGAATTCTCTGCTGGATCTGAAGAACTGAGCTACAGCAGAAGCCTTTTCCACACACACTGCATATACGAGACTTCTCCTTTGAGTGTAATTGCAGATGAAGATCAAAGGCAGAGGGATCACTGAAGGTCTTTTTACACTCATTACAGTGGTAAGTTGTTTTTCCTGTATGAATTACATTATTTTGATCCAATGTTGCAATTTTCACACTCTCTCTTCCATAATCATTGTAGCTGTAAGATTTTTCACTTTTGTGTACTGCACGATCATTGAGGTGATGTGATAGCCAACTGATGGTATCACTGTCCTGTTTACACTGACATAGTTTATTCTTCATGGAAATTTGCTGATATCTATTCTGATAATTCCGTGACTCGGTCAGGAAAGTTTTCCTCCAAGAATCCTGCACTCTCAAGGTTGGAAACTCTGTATTTCCAGTGTCATTGGGACCATCCATATTATAATTTGGTACACAGTTCTCATTTTCAGAAATTTGAATAGACAGTCCTGCCCCAACGTGACAGGGGGAATCACCTTGTTTTTGGAACTGAGAACTTTTTATCATGGAGTCTCGACACCTGGTTAAGTCGTTTGCAATCTGTTGCCAGATCTCCCAACAGGAAAGCTCTTCATGGGGTCCTCTGTCTCGAACAGTCCTCAGCTCACTGTGACTGTTATCGCCTACGCAACAGAGAATTTAGAGATACAGGCAAGTGAAAGCTTTGTTCAAAGATTCACAATTTCACACTTAGGACACAGTATAAGACTTTAATGAACCTCAGGGTGGTTCGGCTTATCTTTTTCACCACATATGAAGTTCCCTGGTCTATCTACTGACAGAAACCAGGGGTGGTCCATTAAGCTCTCAACCACTTAGTATTGATACCCATTTAAAACAAAGTTACTGGCCTTTGACATACTATTTAAATCATTTTCCAAAAATTACATGTTTCTTCTACCACAATACAGGATCGGCAAGGACAAGTATTTTGGAGTGCTCACAGCTTTACTAGTGCCTGGCAGTTAGTAAGTACTCAAGAAATGAATCAGTTTGATTGCTAGGATTCTCTATAACTTCAAATAGAGAATCCCAGCTTAACTCTGAGCCAAGTTATAGAAGCGAAAGAGCTTTTACAAGGAAGGTATCTGAAATAGGAAAAGGACTGGAAAATACCCTTTGCTGAGAAGCTGAAAGGCTGCACCCGAGACAGTGATATACCAGAGAGCTTAACGCTGAGGAGAAAAGCACAGATGCCAAGAATCACTTAGGATGAAAGAAAAGCTTGAAGACCAGGATCCTTCTGACGCTTCTGTACTGTCTCTCTAACATGCTTTTACTTTCCCAAGTAGGAATCAAAATTTAGAGGCTAAAAAAATGCTGTCTCTTTGAAAACAGTGTGGGGAAGTTTTGGATATAGGTACATTGGCCTCTAACAAATATGATTTCCAAAGTGAGGGTGCAGTTTATTAGACAGCTGTGAAATAAATTCAGTAGCTTGTTGTTAAGTAGTTACAAGAAACAGTCTAGAAACTATCAGAAAATCATTACAATCAGTAAAGGTTTCACAACATGAAATGCTTTCTAAAGTTATACGTAAAAACCTACACATAAGTGATAAGGAAATAGATTTTTTTTTTCCCTTCTGTGGGGTAGGTTCCTAAGAAGTAGATAAGATTTTTTTTTTCCCTTCTGTGGGGTAGGTTCCTAAGAAGTAGACATAAGAATTCTCATTCAAAAAAATATTACCTCCCCCCAAGTGAATATGCTCTGCTACTAATGGCTCAAAGAAAGTCACAGGGGGAGCTTGTTACTCAGTTTGGTTAAACTACAATGCTACAGGTCTGTACTGACCAAATTGGATAGTAAGTTGTGCTCGCACGCACCCACACACACCAATGGGCGCCTGAGAAATTTGAACTATGTTAAGAATTCATGTGAAGACAAACAGGTTTTGCAATATTCCTTATTCAGTTGGATTTGTTCACCACCTATTAGCTATTTCATGAAAGACGGATTTCTCTGTCCGCTATCGCATTTATTTATTCAACAAATATCTACAGAGCCCTTGCCAGGTACCAGGATGATTCTAAGCACTGAGGACAGAAAAACAAACAAGACAATAAACAAAAAACAAAAAAACAAAAAAGACAAAATTACTTCAATCCTAGAAAGTATACTCCATTGGGGAGAAAGAAGTGATAGATGAGTGAACAAAAATACAAGCGAGGTTGAGTGGTCAATACTTAGATACAAGATCAGGCTGGGCACTGAAAGTAAAGAGGGGACCGTATTTCCAAAAGGGTTGTCAGAGGACAGCCCTTTCAGGACATTAAAACCGAGTGACCCGAAGTAAAGAAGGGGCCTGAAGGATTGTAGATGAAAGAATATTCCAGGCAGAGAGAACAAGTAAAGGTATCTGAGGCAGAAGCATCCTTGGCAGGTCTGAGAAACAGCAGGACAATGCAGATGGAAAAAACAGTAAGAGGGAGAGGATTGGAGATGTACTCAGAGGCACTGGGGGACAAACGGCAGACCACAGAGGCCCCTAGAAGCCACTTTACGTGGGTTTTACTCTAAGTAACATAAGCCATAAGAGAATTTTGAGCAGAGGAATAAGATAATCTGGTTTAAGGTTACAAAGGATCACTCTGGCTGACACTCAGAGAACAGACCGTAGGAGGGCACAAGTGGAAGCGAGTGACCAGTATGAAGGCTACTGCAATAATCCAGGAGAGATTTGGCAGATTGGACTGTGTGAGGCCCTAGTGGTGGAGAGAAACAAAACAGATGGACAGTTAACTATGAGAACTCACAATTGCTTGGTTTTTACCTATTTTTTTATCTATCTGGAGTTCTGTCTTCATCATCCAAAGCCTCTCTTCTCTTTCTATATATGATATATCTCGTCTGAAATATTGATATCCTGAGAACATGTGAAGTCACAAGTTTCAAAAGAACACAATGAAGCTATAATTTACTGGAAATTTCAGTTTCAATTGTATATTCAAGATGTTGAAAGAATTGTTTTCAAAAATCTTTTTATCGTGACTTACTGAAGAAAGAGCATTTACTTCATGACTCAGACACATATGCATAAATATATCTTACTAAAACAATGGTTGAATGACTCATTTCTAAACTATGTCTATTTTCATTAAATCTCCTCCCAGTGGTTCTCACACCACTCATGGAATTGGCCAATTTTTCTGGAATGTATTGTATTCTTCTCCAGGAGCTGATATTGCCTACTGTTTTACTTCATTAAAAACTGTTAGTAGGATTCAATAAATTGGTTTTATAATTCACTAACAGGACATGAGTGAAATTTAAAAAAATACATAAAGTATAGCACTATGCTGTCCATTTGGTTTTCTTTTTTCTTTCTTTTTTTTTTTTTTTTTTAACAATACACAAATGAAAAAGATTAGGAATTTCCTGTCCCTTGTAGCCTACACACATTGCAAAAGTCTGGTCCCCAAACTCAGGGAACCATATCAAGAGCCCCAAAGCCTTAACTCCAAGGTCAGAGAAACACTCTAGAGGTGCCTGTCCTCACCCACTGAGACCAGGTTCTTGAAGTTCTCCAGCATCACATCCTGGTACAGCTTCCTCTGGGCGGAGTCCAGCAGCTCCAGCTCCTCCTCGGTGAAGGCCACAGCCACGTCCTTAAATGTCACTGCCTCCTAAGCCAAACACATACACCTCAATCTTACACCCAGTGTCCACTGGGAGAATGGGTGGGAAGTGGCTCTGGCCCCTGAGCAATCTGCAGACCTCCCAGCACCCTCCTATCCTGTCAATGGCACATGCTGCTTGCCTCAGCCTCACTAGAAGCACTGCTCTGAGAAAGGAGACTCTGTATGTTTATCTGGCGCTCTCAGTGAGCCGTGTTACAAGTAAACTCCCTAGAATTCTAAATGCCACATCCTAACTAAAAAGGTTCTACTTTTTACTTAATATTGCCAATTGCCCCAGAAACGGTTTCCAATTTCGTCCCAACGGTGTTTGTCAGCACCCACCTTTCCACAGAGGAGTACTGTTATACATGGAAATAAACAGAAAGGGCTTGCCAGGTCTCTGATCACAAAACTGTTCCCTCCTGTCTCTGTCCTTCACTCGTGTACAATACTCTGAGTTGGTTCCCTCCTGTCTCTGTCCTTCACTCGTGTACAATACTCTGACTTGGTGAACTTGAGCAGGTTCCTTATTTTTCATAATCCACTTTCTTTATATTGAAAATTAAGAGGAAACAAAAATTTCTTCATAAAATTGTTCTGAAGCGTCAATGCAGCAACAAGTCCTCTAGTACCACTGAAGTTTTTAAACTTAGGTCACCTGTAACTTTCATTTAAAAAAATAAACGAAGAAAAAAAATAAATAAAATATACATAGGGTATGACTAAGGCACAGACGGGACAAAACCTAGCTCTTGTATATAGGAAACTTCTAATTATATATTTTTCTGTGTGAGGCAGCAGTTTGATCCTGAGGCATTGCACCATATTTGAAGATTCTACCAAAAATATCCGAGGTACCACATATAAAACATAGTTTTACTCATTTTGAATACTCAGTATGTTAAGGACATAAAGAGGCAGTATTTTTTCAGAATTGATTTTTTGAGGAAAAGATTAAATGCAGGAAAACTGTACTGTAGTGCTCCTAAAACAGTAAAGGATCCTAAACTAACGTCTATGAATAGAACAATGTTTTAAAAATAGGTACATAAATTTGATGTGAACATAATATAACAATTTAAAATGAATGTTATATAATATTAAATGCAAAAACCAAGTTGTATCTATGTTCTGAACACAAATACACAGTATAAATACACATAATGAAGAGATTATGGAAATAACAAAGCAGCTAATTTGGGGAAGTAGTAGACAATGTTTTTCATTTCTATTGATTTTTATTTGTGAAATATACTCAACAGCTCTTCAAATGCTTTGAGTTTTGTTGAAAGAGAAAAACTTGTGTCCAATCTCTCTAGTACCAAAACAGCATTTTTTAACCCATTTCCTCTTTGTCCCAAGAACACTCACTGGGGGCACTTGTAGCTGTAGCATTTACCCCGAGATAACTTGTGGATTACATTCCTAACGTCACCCCCAAAGTTTGCCACAAAATACCTCATTTTTATTCTTATTTTCATTTTTATTATTAATTTCGCATTGTTCTAGTATATTGATAGTCTTTGGAAACAAATGACATCATTCTATTTAAAGCATCCTGTTTTTAGGTGTGGTATTCCCATTTACAAAATAAAGTAACTCTCGATCTCTGAAAATATCAAATCCTAGAAAATGTAGCATTTCAAGGTGTGATGGTAAATTAATGTGGGAAGTGAGCTGCACTTTTTTCCTAAATGGGAAAGAGGTGAAAGCAAGAAAGGCAGGTCCTACTCACCTTGAACATGCTCATTTTTTCTTTTTCCTTCTGGGGAAACACAGAATCCTAAGAAGGCAGACTGGGAAAGGAGAACGAAGTCAATGGAAACTGCTCAAGTATGTCACCGACCCATGCGGCTGCGTGCTGTGAATTCCCAAAGATGCCTGGTCTCCGGGTTGGTGGCAGCCATGCATAGGTTGATGAACAGATCTTGGCATGGATGCCAGATGCCCATGCTATCCCTTTCAGTAGTAGTTCAGGGAATACCCTGCCGAACCACACACAGTGGCCCCACCACCAGAGTGCCTGTAGCTTCAACAGTAGTAATTCTTACACTGGATATGGTGTAAATTGAAACCTAAAGAGGGTAGACTCTGGAGTTAATGTGCATGGGTTGAAATTCTGGCGAGGCTATTCTCTAGCAGTGTCGTCTGGGGCAAATCATTAACACCTCTTTGCTTCAATTCTGTCATCTACAGGTTAGGGAGAATAACCATATCGACCTCATAGGACTGTCATAAAGTGGAAAGCTCTTAGGACATTGTCAGAGTTTCTTATTTCTTTGCAATTGCAGCAAAGCAGATGTGATTCTATAGTTAGAAATTATTCTTATAAATGTGATTTCTACCAATAGAATATTGTAAGATACATGGAGTTCACAGGTTGCTGCTCTGTCATGTTAGAGACTCTTATGAGTTCTGAAAAATCTCTGGTGTAGTCTTTATAATAATGTGTTATCTCAATGATATGTGAATTGACACTTTTTATAAATGGTACAAAAATGTGTGATGTTTCTTAAAGCAGTAAGTGCTCTTTTCATGAATATACAGAGAGATAAAGAAAACTAATTAAGACTCACGATTCTGCAACAATTGAAAAAAAAAATAGTGTGCCAGTCCATACCTAATTTCAATTAAAAAGACAGGAATTTGAGCTATAAGTATATTGTCATAATTGTGAGAATGTATAAGAAGTGAATTGGTGAAACGAGGAAACTCTTAGAACACTATCATGGTAGAATGCAAACTAGTAAACATAGAATGAAAGACAGAAAATCACCAATGGATGCTAAAAATTGGAGAACATTTGACAAGGAATAAGATAGTCTCAAAGTATTAGTTGCAAAAGGAACAACAGTAACCTAGCAGACACCTTAACCAAAAAAACTAAGCTGAGACCACCAATTGGGACCACCATTTGCTTCATACAATGCACTGAGAAGGGTGCCTCGCCACTGCTGTGGCATCCCAGCTGATAATGCTGAGCCTGAATTTAATTGTGAGCAAATCTCAGATAAACCAAAACAAAGGGATAGTCTACAAAATAATGTGCCAATACTCTTCAAAACTATCAAGAGGAAAAAAGAAAAAGTCTGATGAATCCTTCTAGATTAACGGAGACTAATGAAACAAAAAACCAAGAGCAATGCATGTAACTGGACTGGATCTTGAACTGGAAAGAAAATTGCTCTCAAAGAGTTTACTGGGAAAATTGAAAAAATTTAAATATGCACTGTGGATTAGACAACAGTGTGTTATTAGTGTAAGTGATTCCATTTTGATCAGGGTCTGTACCTTGCACTTAAATGGTTCAGCAAAACAAACAAACAAACAAACAAAAAACAAAACAAATATGTAAGTATGATAAAGCTGTGAATGAAAAAAAGAATAACTGGCAAGCTAATTGTCACAACAGCTAGAACCTGGCCTTTTCAACTGATGAACAAAAATCAGGCAGGGCCATTCAGTGACCACAGCGAACAAAAAAATGACAAGACACTGCATAACACAGAGACGAAGACATTCTACAGTGATAAAAATAGCCAAAGAAGTGCCCCTACCAGTTAATGTGAGAGACTACTTTGTTAACAGTGACAACTCCCATTTCTTTGCATCTCCCATCTACTAGATAAAAATTGTTACAATCGTCATCAAATCACTTTTGCTTCTTGACACCATCCAACCCTGAAGAAACCTTCACTGCCTAAAACTCTCCCCAATTCAGCTAACACAAGCCAAAAGCTATAAGCATAATCACCTCTTCCCAAGACACTCCACGGTTCCCTGTGGAGTGTGGGCTTCCTTGCTGCAGCAAGCTAAAACAAACCTAACTCTGATTACAAGTATGTTCCTGACAGTATCTGGCTGATGGTCATCAACAGAGCAAATAGGCAAAATGAACTATGGAGAATCTGGGTAAAGAGTATATGTGAATTCCATATACTGTTTTTGCAATTTTTCTTTAAGTATGAAGTTATATTTAAAGTTACAGAAATAAGGAAATAGTCATAGTGATAACACACAATGACAACAATAGTTCTGATAATGACTATAGCAAAAGTATCTAACATTAATTAACATTAACTAACTGTAATGGATCTTCCCACTTCCACAGAAGTCCTCTAGTACAAAACATGGCAATGAGTCTCCTCCCCAAAGCTTGGAAGAAATATATCTTTGTGACTTCTAATTCCATTTTGTCTCTGTATTTACCAGTTAGCTGTCTTCTGCTCATGTTAGGATTTTGCAAAGAGACCTGACAGTTGACAATAATTAGTTGGGGGGGAAATCATTGTACTGAGTAGAGCTATGATGTATCCAGCTGCTTTATCTGTGACAGCTGGCATGGTTAATATTCAAGGCCTCCATTTTCATACAAGAACCTTTCTAGGGCTTCTTAAATTTTCCTGTGTGCAGGAATAACCTCAGGATCTTGTTGCAATACAGATTCCTGGAGCCCAGCTGCAGAAATTCTAACTCAGGTCTCGGATGGGGCTCAAGGATGGGCATTTCTATCCCCATGATGCCAACGCCGCTGGTTTGTAGACTACAATTTGAACAGCACTGCAGTGTACCATCAGTCCCAAAGAAAAGAGCCTCCACTAAACAGAAATACACGACGAGTAACCAGACAAAAAGGCACTAAAACGTTAACAAGGATTATCTTTACATCTTAAGGTTATGGGTAACTTAAACTTTTCTTTATATATTTGTGTTCTCTGAATTTCCTATTATGACTACATTACTTCTAAAATATAAATGTTATGCTACCCTGTACAAGCTCGATCCTGTCTAATCTTGGAAGCTAAGCAGGGTTGTGCCTGGTTAGTACTTGGTTGGGAGACCACCTAGGAAGACCAGGTGCTGTAGGTGTAAAAAATCAAACAAACAAACAAACGAACAAATAAATAAAAATAAGGGATTGTAAGCTGACAAGGTCCTTTCAATCTGTGAGGTCAACCAAGGGTTGCCTCGCCTAAAAATAATAAATAAAAAATAAAAATAAAAACTCACAGACTAGCCTAAGCCTTGCTCAAGGTTCCCACAATCAAGTCCCAAACTACTTTCCCAGTAAGATTCCAGACAGTTCCCAAGCTCAAGAAGAATATACTAGAGAATAATGAACTCAGGTGCTGGCCTCAGACTGCCTAGGTTCTAATCCCCCGCTCTGCCTCCTACTAGCAGGGTGACCAAAGGCAAACAGGTTATACTCTCAGTCTCAGTCTCATCTTTAAAGTAAGGAAACTAGCAGCCCCACCTCACAGAACCACCGTGTGATGGAAATGCGTTCATTTGTACAAAACTCTGAAATGGAACGTAGCAACTAAGGCTTAATTATAATCATTACATGTCCACGTCCCACTCGTTCTCCGATTTATGTGAATACCTTAGCAGAAAAATGCCAAGTCCTACTCACGTGGGGCTGTTTTCTCCTTCTCCGTGAAGTATTTTGAGAAGTCAGGGCTGGGGAAGGAAAGAAAGTTGTGAGATACCAGGACTATGTTTGCATCCCTGAAAAATCATTCTCGGTATCAGCTAGGAGCAATCCTCTCCTGACAAAAACGGCAGGAGTCCAGCACAATTCAGCTTCTTGGGCTCACAGAATCTCACCGCGAGACGGTCGCTTCTCGGGGAATTATAAAAATCCATGTACCAGGCAGTTTTAAACCTTTCACTTGTACTATCTTGTCTTTTTCAAAACATTTATTAGGAACGTATTAGGGAAATATTACTTTTCTTTCCGTTTTACAGAGCAGCAAGCGAAGGCACAGGATAGTTAAGTAACCTGCACACGTGCCACCACATGAAGTGGTAGGTAGGGGAACCGGGTTGAGAGTGCAGAGCCCAGGAGACCCTCAAACCCCGCGATGCACGACCGAGCCCACCCCATTCAGGGGACGTCGCAAACGCGAAGCTCCGCCCTGGGGAACTCAAATCGCCACATCGGCCCTCTAACCTCTACTTTTAGCCGCTCCTCCTCTTTATCCCCAAAATAAAGGCCAGTAGCTGTTGGCCGCAAGCGCAACTTGAGGACGTTTGAGTGGGTCGTGAATAGCGAACCTGAAGTAACATAACCGGGAAAAAGATGGCTGCCACATCGGCCTCCAGGGCCGGAAGTACCCGTGACAACCCGGGGCTCTTGTACTACATTTCCCAGAATCCCCAGCACCGCCCTCTCTGAAGAGAAGTGCCTGAGACTACCTGGAGCTCTTAGACTTACACTTCCCAGAACTCCGCAGGGACAAGTTTGCAGCCGGGCCTCCCTGTAGCTGCAGGAGGTGAGACCACATGGAGCGCGGAACTACATATCCCAGAATGCCAAGGGGGATAACCGGCGACGGCATAGCTTTATTGACTAGAGTTCCCCAGATGAACACTCGTAAGTGCCCAACTACTTTGAGCTCTTGGTCTTCACTTCCTGGAGTCTCCGAGAAATTCTCGGGAAAATTTCTGGCCATTCTAGCATGTCGGCTTTAGAAGAGTGTAAATTCTGTTCATCGAGAAGCTGAGTAGCACTTTAGACAGGTGAATCTTCCGGCCCTTTCAGGGACCGAAGCCAAATGTCAAGTCACCTTAATCCCTGAAATTGCATAAAGGTGACTCTTCCGGCCCTTTCAGAAGCAAATAAAAACCTTTTCTAGAGAGATACCATCATCCTAAACTTCAAGTTATTTCTGTAATTATAAATTTGTGATATTAATATTTGAACAAGTGAGCATTACTTGACATGGAGGTACGCTTCAGAATGATAAACGTTTAAAGTTATCGGAAACTAATAACTGAAGCTTATATTTTATAAAGCAAAAACTGACAACCACGAAAAGATTCAATGGGTGAAAGGGGTCAAAAGGTTAACAAAAATTGAGCACTGCAGCTTGTAGTGCAGTGTCTCTACAATACACCTGTGAAACAATTTCACGCATCATCTTCATGTGTGGATCAGAAGCCAGTTACGTACGTAATGAATGAATCCAGGTCAAGCAACTCAAGAGAAGTAAGAAAGAGGGAAAGGGGAGAGAGGACAGAGGGAGGGCAGAGGAGAGGGTGAAAGGTAGAGAGGAAATTCAAAGACTGGGACACCTGAATGGTAGAAAAAGAATATCGAGTCTCAATAACCCAACAATTTCATTTGTGAATAAGCAAAACTAGTATTAAAAAAAAACCACACAGACATCCCAGGTGTGTGTTGAGGTGGAAGGGTGGGGAAGTGCATGAGTAGAACGCAAGAGCCCCAGGCCTGGAAGTTGCACCCAAGTTTGCATATTCTGGAAAAACCACCAGGAGGACCAGAGGAGTGAGAAATGCCGATTATTACTCACAAGGCAGGGAAGCTTCAGCAGTGGCCAGTTGGAGCTGCATGAAGAGGCTGTTGCTGACCAACCACAAGCAGTTTTTTATGCCAACAGGCAGAGGGACGGGTTATCTCATTGCGGGAGAATACACCTCCTCAAATGGTTGGGAGCAAGATGTGCTGCTTAGTTACAGAGCAGATAACGTCCTTGGGAGCAGGCACTGCTGAAAGCTCTTTGTGCACTGCCTTCCTTGGCTGCTGGCCTGGCAGCCGGCAGTCTTCTGAGTACGTGGAGAGGCCGTGTTCTGAGTTACCCCCACAGTGAGTAACAACCTAGTTGCTAACTCCGATTGCTTGTCTCTTCTTCATGGTGCTCACACATTTGAGACAATGCCCCTAGACCTCATCAGCTTTGGGAAGGTGGAGGGGAGGCAGTGTGTCCCTTTGGCACTTTAAGGGGAAACAGACTTACCAAGTGTGTTGGGGACGATGACCTGGTGGCCTTGACTATAGTGCTGGAGGAGATATGGAGAGGCCATTCATCTGCAGGTACTGCACAGGGGACAGAAAACACAGAGCAGCTGGAGAGATGAGGTCTCTGAACTCCCAGAGGGAGCAGAGTAGGAACTCTGCAGTTGGGCTCCTGGCGATTCAGGGAGGCGATTTAACTGCACACACCGCTTTCAGGGTCAGTGTCCAAACAGTAATCACAGGATAGAACACACATTTATAATCACTATTACCATCGCCAGCTGCCTCTGTCATTTTGGGGGAAGACAAACGATGACACAACTGACTAAAGTATTCAAAGAACCTCTCTGTGACGGTCAAGTGCTACCTGCTCTAGTCACAGGACAAGCCAGGTGCATCAATGGAGCAAAGGCTCCCAGATGGAAATCCCACCCATTTGTTTCCATCTCTTACAGCATCACATACAATGCTCCCTAAGAAATAGCTTCTTTAGGAGTATCTGGTGACAGAATGAACAAAGACTATCTACCTGACACTTGCAGGGTCATGGGTAATACACGTGTTCATACTGAAGGATGCTGAATTTTTCTTTGTTGTAGTGTTTCTCAGCCTTAAAAAGATGATCCAATACCCTAAGTTCTCCCATATACTATTGCAGAAAGTCCAAACCAAACAGTAAATCCCTAATACACACACACACACACACACACACACACACAAACTTCTTTAAACAAAAGGCCTCTTCTTAACTCTGGCATGGCACAGTCTTTGGCAAAAGCCTGGACAGTAGTGAGTGGAAAGGCAGTGAGGAGCACTGGAGAGCCTGCCTAGGCTCTGGAGTCAAGTATTCACGGGTTCAGGTTCTCCCTCTACCAGTGTAGGCTGTGTGTCCCTGCACAAGCGTATCCACAACTCTGAGTATTAGCTTTTTCACCTGTAAAGTAAGGCTATTAACTAACTCTACAGGTTATTAAAAGGATTAGGGACAGTGTCAAGTATTGAATACAGTGCTTTGTACATGGGAAATGTTTGCTAAATGGCAGCTATTATTTTCACAAGCAAACCATTAGTCTTTCCTAGGAGCAAGAGCACACATGTTGTAAAAAACAAACTGAACTCATAATTGGAATGAGATTTTTAACGTATACTAGAGGGAAATGTCGAGCCTTAAATGCATATGTCAAAATAGAAGTGAAGAAGATCGATCCAGAAAATATCCATTTCAAGAAGTTACTGAACGAATAGCAAAACCAAAGTCGATGGAAGTTCATAGAATTCCATTTTCTGCACCCACGACATTTTCCATATCTATTCTTCTCATTGCCTTTGCCACTTAGAATGAAATAAACATTGTCATACATGTCTGCTTATAGATCTCTGTGAGAGTTTGGAACTCTTTGAAATAGACCAATGTGAGGATTTTGGGGCATACATACCCCAAAATGAAATTATTTCATAGTGTATGTATATAGGCAAATTTAATATTAGCCATACTGACCTCCAAATAGGCTGCAGCAGTCCACGTTACCAAGCATTGCACATGAAGCTTTTCGTGTAACCACTTCCTCACCTTCATTTGGATGGCTCACCACCCTAGCTTTTGCTAGAGTATGAATGTATAGTACTTCTGATTTTGTTTCTTAGGAAAACCTTGACTAATCCAACACAGCTACATTTTAATACTTATGGCAGGATTATCACATATTATTTCTACAGGTTTGAAAGATTCACAGTGTTTTACAATGACCACTATCTAACCCTATAACTCTTTCGTCTGCCCCTCCGCCTCCCAAAAAACGCTCTACTCCTCATTCCCAATTCCATTCCTCAGCCCCAGTCCCAGGAACCACCAATTTACTCTGTCTCTATGGATTTGCCTACTCTGCACATTTCATAAAGTGCAATCACACCACACATTACCTCGTGACTGGCTTCTTTCACTTGGCATGTCTTCAGGGTTCATCCGTGTTGGAGCATGAATCAGTATTTCATTCCTTCACGTTGCTGAAAAATATTGCATTGTATGGATATACCACATTTTGTTCGTCCATTTATCAGCTCACAAACATAGGATTGTTTCCACCTTTTGCCTATGGTGAATAATGTTGTATGAACACTTTTGTACAAGTTTTTGTGTGCATTGATGTTTTCAGTCCCCTTGGGAATATACTTAGCAATGTAATCGCCATGACATAAGCCTAATTGTTTTTGAAATGTGGTTTTGGTTATGTCAATCTCACTGAGAGGTTCATGCCCTGATCTTAGCAGTGGCCATCCTGAAAACGGAAACACTGAGACTATGGCTCAAGAGCAAATGAACAAGTATAGTCGTTGTAGTGCACTTTGCACTACAATGGGAGGAGATAGTACTTCTCTTTGTTCCAGGCGAGTTGGGCCCCTGCTCCAGGCCCCATGCCTCAGAAGTACTCACAATTTGAGTTTCTTCCTGTTTTAAAAACCTCCCTCCAATGCCTGTGATTGGTCACAACTAGCAGTGCTGTCCAGGTGGGGTGCCCAAGCCCAGACCAGGGTGCAGATGCTCCTCATCCGTTTATCTAGGGTCATCTTTGACCTCTGCCCACTGTGCATAGTTGACAAAATGCCCCCAAGAAACTCCAGGATGATGCCCATGTGGTTGTGAGCAGATATCTGGTATATATGCATTCAGAACCATGTCATGAGGAACTGGCTCATGCAATTATGGAGGATGAGAAGTCCTATGATCTGCTGTCTACAAACTGAGCACCCAGGAAAGCGGGTGGTGTTATTCACACCAATTCTCAAGGCCTGAGAACCTGGGGAGCCTACGATTTAAATTGCAGTCTGAGGGCCAGAAAAGATGACATGTCCCCACTGATGCACGTGGACAGGAAACAAAAAGGGGCAAATTCTTCCTTCTTCATTTTCTTCTATTAGTGTTCTCAATGGACTGGATGACACCTACGTACATTGGGGAGGAAACCTACTTTACTGAGTCCACTGACTCAAATGCTAATCTCATTCAGAAACTCTCACAGACACCCTGTGATCCAGTCAAGTTCACATAAAATTATCACAGTAGCCAGCTTAGAGCTAAAACAGGGAAATCCCCAGGGGCCAGAGATGCAACAGGAAAGTCAAGTTCATGGTGAAAAGTGGGACCTGCAACTGAAATGACCCCACAAAGGCTAGAGGAACTGGATACAGAGCTCAATTAATCGAGAAGGAATGGGAGTCAAGGTGAAATGCCCCATGCACTCTGGGACGTGAACTAAACACTACAAATGAGACAGCTTTCTCTCAACTTTGAACTAAGAACAACAAATAAAGAACTGCACAGCTCACAGGTGCTATGCCTATTTTGTGACCAACACGGAACTCGGGTTGCCCAGGAGAGTGGATGTAAGCCACGTCTGCAGTCTTATCAGTTATAAGGGCAATGTTAATTTCGGTTATAAACTACCTTAAGCCAAGATGACCTATTATGGCATCTTCTGAGAGCAAGCAAAGCAAAAGAAAAATGAAGGTACTGGGTCTCTGATGTCATGAGTGCAGGAAAGTTTCACATAGAACTGACACTGCTATGCTTAGAAAGGCCTGATTACAAGGCTGGCTCTGACTGGTGTCTGGGTACCTGGACTGCAGGATTCCTACTGTTACCTTATATGGGTAGCTTACAGTGCCTAAGCTACCTGTTCAAGGTGGTTTACGCCGAACACCTATTATCTTTTTGAGACTCTCCAGTCTTGGTAGATACTAGGCGGACAGTGCCTATGTGACCAGACTCAATAAATACCCAGTGCAGGAGTCTCTAATAAGCGACACTTCATGTGTGTTATCACAATTCAGTGCTGAAAGAATTTAGTACATCATGTGTGATATCACAGACAGGAGTCTTGGAAGCTTACACACGATTTCTTCCAGACTTCATCCTTTGTACCTTTCCCTTTGCTCATTTCACTTTGTGTCCTTTTATTGTAACAAATTATAGTCATATGACTAATGTCTTGGGGGTACTCTTAGGCAATGACAGACCTGGAGGATGTCTTAGGGACCCCCAATGCACGAAACTGGGGCAGCATGGACCTTAATAAGTATCTAGCATCTTGTGAAGGTATGGTCCAGAAAATCAATTGTGGAAACCAGTCTCCCCAACAACACTGAAAAGTCCACCATTGTGTCTGAGTACAGGGTGGCATCCAAACTTGCTCTTTACCCTTCCTTGTTCCACAGTCTGAGCAGCCATGGCTATTACGCCATGTTCTTTCCTATGCACACCTTTTCAACAGGGGATCTTTTTTTAAATACACCACATTGTATATATATCTATTTTGTTTTGAGCCCTCTCCCTGTTATGAATTTATACTTAGAGCACAGCATGCATAAATTACAAAGATATGATTTTCGAAGTTCGTTAATTTATCTCTGTATGCAAAATAACCAGAAAATGCTTTGGATTTTAAATTGGCTTTCAGAATCTATTCCTTAACTTTGATCTTATATAATGTCATAGAACGCTCATATTTAGGAGGTCTTAATTGTAAGGCATAATTACTTAGAACTTTAAAAATTCAACTGTAGTTGTTTACTGCTTTGGTAATATTCAATGTTCAGTGAAATACTAAAACATAACTTAAGAAGCTATAAAATGGAAAAATACCACAAAATGCTTCTTGCAAGGGAAACCACATGAAGAACACCCCTTTACACATTATCTTACACATGTATACATATACACATGTACATGTGCAAACACACACATAAACACACTCCCAAAGGTTATGCTATGAAGACTCCAATTTTTGATCTCTCAAAGCCCATGTTACATATTTCTCCTGTTATTACAGATATCTGCCATAATTTTAATGGCTTAGGTTAAAATAGGAATACATCAAAACTCAAATTCCTATAGATGTATACTTATTTCCATTTTTAAAAATTCAATGGCGTCATTGATGTGGCATTCATCTTCTTGGTATTTTAATCTCTTAATCGTAACTTCCAATTATATGATTTCCAGATCAAAGAGATGTACAACCTATATTTTTATATGCACTCCTTTCCCAAAACTGTGCTTCACCGCTAGCAATAGGAAAGGCAATATAAACATCAGTCTTGTCTCAATAATACATTTGATAAAATTAACGCATTCCCACAAGTTTTTTGGGTATTCATTTCATGGGTATGGGGGAAGAATATGGCCTAGCTCCTACCTGAGAAGTTTTGATAAGAGAAATGCCACAGTAATTAGAAGGCAAACATTTCAAAGTTCATTGGAAATGCAGATCATTAGAAATCAATAATAAATTCAAGACTAAGAAAACTGTCATTGAACTACCTGGGACACTTTCAGAGTGTTCCAGTAAACCCCTGCCTTAACATTGATATATAAAAGTCAACTGTGTAATATGCAGCAACTTCTTGTAAAGGTAAAAAAAAAATTTTTCAATCTGTACTGTCAGAAAAATTACAAGGTAGTTCAGTTATGCTGTACACAATCCTTGGAAAACAAGACAGGGCCCCAAATAATTAGAATCCAACTTGAGAACAGGGGCTGTGGGGAAGACAGGAGCCAACTGCAATAGGGTGACTAATACCATATTAATATCACAGACTGCGATACTGAATGACTTTCCACATTTCAACAAATGTTCCTCTCCCTGAATTAATTTTATTTTGTAGGTTCCCTCCTCTGGATACAATTTCACATATTGTACATTTTCTCCTTTGCGTGTATTTAACATACAAGTTCTGAGGACACCCACTAGCATGAGTTGATGTTATGGATGATGTGACTCAGCAGTAAACACGTTGCCCTCATGGAGCTTACATTCTGGGGGTATCACTTCTGGCTTGCCCATCATCACATTTCCATTAAAGGCCAGACAAAATGCTTTCCCTTTCTAAGTCCCATCTCCTAAGTCACGTCTGATAAACGTCAAAGTTCTGAAGTGTTTACTGCACCATTTACAACTGTGTGGCCTGCTGAAAATTGAAATATACTCAGCTATTGCTTAAACACCAACTGAACTAAATCGAATATTTTCTCTATGAAAACTGATGATTTTAAGAATTTGGGTTGCACGAGTTTTTAAAGAAATGTCATTTTGTAGAACTTTTTGCCGCTGACAATTCTTTGATGTTTTTACCACTTTCATCACTTTCATAAAATGTATCACCATGAATTTTGTGATGACTTACAAGATTGGACCGCCAACTGAAGGTCTTACCACACATGTCACACTTGTAAGGTTTCTCCCCTGTGTGAACTCGCCCATGGTACTGAAGCTGTGAAGATCGACTGAAGACTTTCCCACATGCATCACATTTGTACGGTTTCTCCCCAGTGTGGACACTCTGATGCAGCTGAAGGCTTGAGGCCTGACTGAAGTGCTTCCCACACTCCCCACACTTATATGGTTTCTCTCCTGTGTGGACCCTCTGATGCATGTCGAGATTCAAGCTCCACTTAAAGCCCTTCCCACACTCCTCGCATCTGTATGGCTTTTCTCTGGTGTGGACTTTTTGATGGGCTTGAAGGTGCGAACTCCGCCCGAAGCTCTTCCCACATTCGTCACATTTGAATGGCTTTTCTCCACTGTGGACCCTCTGATGGGTCAGAAGATGTGAGGCCTGGCTGAAGACCTTTCCACACTCCTCACAATTATATGGTTTTTCTCCCGTGTGGATCCTGCAATGAATTTTGAGATCTGCTCTACGACTGAAGCCCTTCCCACACTCTTCACATTTGTACGGTTTCTCCCCAGTATGGATCAGCTGGTGAACCTGAAGTCGTGAACTCTGGTTGAAGCCCTGCCCACATGCCTCACACTTATAAGGTTTCTCTATACTGTGGGCCTTCTGATGGATTTTAAGATACGAACTCTGACGGAAGCCCTTCCCACATACCTCACATTTATAGGGTTTCTCTCCTGTGTGGACCACGAGGTGAACTTGATAATGGATTTTCATCCTGAAGCTCTTCCCACAGTCATCACATTTATATGGTTTCGCTCCTGTATGAACTCCCTGATGGGCTTGAAAACTTGAACTGTAAATGAAGCCCTTACCGCACTGTTTACATACATACGGTTTCTCTCCAGTATGGATTCTCCGATGAGCCTGAAATTGTGAAGGTTGAATGAAGCACTTACCACACTCCTCACATTTATAAGGTTTCTCTCCTGTGTGGACCCTCTGATGGATATGCAGATTTGAGCTACAAGTGAAACACTTCCCACAGTCTTCACATTTGTATGGTTTCTCTCCTGTATGGACCATACAATGGCTATTAAGTGCTGACCTACGACGGAAGTTCTTCCCACATATATCACATTTGAACGGTTTTTCCCCAGTGTGGATTCTCTGATGTTCCTGAAGATGGGACGCATGAATAAAGGCCCTTCCGCATTTGTCACAATTATAAGGTTTCTCTCCTGTGTGTAACTTACAATGAACAGTAAGTGTTGATCTGTGACTGAAGCCTTTCCCACATTCCTCACATCTGAACGGTTTCTCTACAGTGTGGACTTTCTGATGGGTTTGTAGATGTGAGTTCTGACTGAATTCCTTACCACACTCATCACATTTATAGCGTTTCTCTCCCAAGTGAACTCTCTGATGAATACGGAGTGCTGAGCTATAACAGAAGCTTTTTCCACACTCACTACACATATGAGACTTCTCTCCTGAGTGTATCTGTTGATGAAGATCAAACTTGGAGACATCATTGAAAGATTTTTTACATTCATTACACTGGTAAGGTTTCTGGCCTGTGTGAGTTATGGATAGTCCTGTCCCAACCTGGCTGGGTGAATCGCCTTGTCTGGGGAACTGAAAGCTCTTTATAATCGAGTCTTGATGCCTGGTTAAGTCACTTGCAATCTGTTGCCAGATCTGCCAGCAGAAAAGCTCTTCACATGGTCCTGCTTCTGGAATGGTCTTTATCTCACTTTGGATCTTTCCTCCTGTAAAGACAGAAAATTCAGAGACGTGGACAACTGAAGGCTTTGTGTTTTCAAGATTTCACATTTAGGAGACAGAATTAGATTTTAATGAATCCAAGGGAAATTCACTTTTTCTTGTCTACCGTGTATCATGTTCTCTGGTTTACATGCTTATAGAAACCTAGAGGTGGTTCAGTTGGCTCCTAGTCACTAAGTATAATGAAATCCATTAGTACACACCCAGTCTCCTGTGTGAGGTACTAGTTAGACATCAAAGATTTAATTAAAAAAAAAAATGATAATGTGTTTCAAACTGTTAACCTATGTCCATTTCTACTGAATTTCAAAGTAGGTGTAGAATCTTGACTAGTAAATTATGTAGTTAATAAATTATGTAGATAGAAAAGTTATATAGGTAATCAAATATGAATCAATTAAAACTTTAAGGGAAAGCAATAACATAAATACTTCAAATTTTGAGTTCATATAATATTTTCTAATAGCCAATACCTCAAAGTATTTATATTTACATATTCAAAGTATTCCTGGAAAGTCAGCACAACATAAACACTTAATCTTGTTTTTCTTGTGTTTACAAACATTAAATGAGTTGGCAACTATTATAAACTTTTGACTACTTTTAGTAATTTCAGTTTAGAAATGTGTTTTCTAAAAGATTTACTCTTGTTGGTATTCTAAAGTTTCTGTATTTATACAAACTTATCTAAACATCTGGAGATTGTTTTCAATAAACTTTCAATTAGTTTAAAAACTACTTCTCTTAAAACTCAACAATAAGAAAACAAAGAACCCGATTAAAAAAATGGGCCAAAGACCTTAAAAGACAATTCACCTAACAAGATATACAGATGGCAATTAAGCATATAAATAGATGTTCTACATCATATGCCATTAGAGAACTGCATATTCAAACAACAATGAGATATCACTACGTACCTATTAAAATGGCCAAAATCCACAACACTGATACCACCAAATACTGACAAGGATGTGGAGCAACAGGAACTCTCATTCATTGCTTGTGGAAATGCAAAACAGTACAGCCATTTTGGAAGCCACTTTGGTGGTCATTTAGAAAACTAAACAAACTCTTACCACAGGATCCAGCTGTTTTGCTCCTTGGTATTTACCAAGAGTTGAAAACTAAAGTCCACACAAAAACTTGTACATGGGTGTTCACAGCAGCTCTAGTCATAGTGACAAAAATTGGAAGCAAACACAAGATGTTCTTCAGTAGGTGAACAGATAAACAAACTGTGGTATATCTACACAACAGCATATTATTCAGTGCTAAAAAAAAATGATCTATTGAGCTGTAAAAAGGTAAATGCATATTACTAAATAAAAGGAACTAGTCTGAAGAGTCTACAT